TAATTATTATTATTATATCTCTATTTACTAATAATCTCGATTATAATAAAACGAAATTATAATTCTAATTATATTAGAAGTTTGACTTTAAAGAGTAATCGATCGTCTCTCTTTGCGCATTTATCAGTGGAATCAAGTAATCTCTTTTTAAAAGCGCGAAGAGCGATACATAATTTTATTAGTCGGTACAAGCGAGCAGCGAGACTGCTTTTTTATATATAAGCGATGCATAAATTAATTAAGATAAGCGATTCGTGAAATCAGAATAATTAATATCGTTATACGATTAAAAAGACATACATACGTAGTTGTACGTTTCCAGGCGCAAGCTTTATCTGGAAAAACTTCAAAATGCATGCAAAATGCATTTTATAAACTGCAATGGATTTTAAAGTTGCCAAGATTGCATTTACAAAATTGACACGAAACCGGCTGATCTTTTTAACTTTGCATCATTAAACGACATTGATTATTCTTGATATGTGTGTCACGGATCAATAAAGTCGATACTACCGTACTGAATAATCATTTGTGCAGTGCTGCTGACCGCAACCGAGAATCGTGTATTTTTGTATATCCGTGAAAAAAAATCACATAATCTATATATAAATATATATTTTAAACGAAAACACCACAGCACTGTGCGGCACGGCACGGCAATATGGGGATTATATCTGATTATAATCAAGGATATGTGTGTGTGTAAATTTAAATACACAAGGAGTGCTTATCAAATCAGTACACTTTCGAATCGAGTATCTGTGAATTGAGCGCTTTTTAATGCCCGTATCGAAGCTCCTCGATGATCAAAATCAAGCTCTTGAGAGAGAAACATCAAGAGATTATGCTAAATAATAGCTCGTATAGTATGCATAGTTGATTACCGTTCTATATATATATATATATATGCATATATATAACTAATATACTCTATATATATATATATATATGCATATATATAACTAATATATCGTGTAGAGAGTACATTGTAATTTGTCGCCGTTTGATCGGTCGGAAATATTTTTTAAATCACATCGATTGTAGGACATACAATTTGCGCAGTTAACGGCGATAGCCGCGTGTACAAATTATAATGTTAATGCAGTTTCCTTCTTCTCCCTTTCCCCCCCTTCTCCATCGATCGATTTCTTTTAATTACGATAACGAATTCCGTTGCCGTTGATCGGAGAACGATGACGGCCTGCTCACTATAACGATTTTCTCTTTGGCGGAAACACAGAAAACCGAGACGCAAACGCGCGCATGTAGATGCTTTTTATCAGAAAAAAAATTTTATCTCTAACCTTTTAAGAGTTATTGATCTATATTGATAATATATGTAATTATATAATTTTTTCTGTGTTGTTATTATTAATAATATAATTTATTAATAATTATTAGCTCTTAATTTTTAATGATGCGCAAAAGATGTACATATATAAGCAAGCATACTCACGTGCCTTGCTTCTCGGTGTTTTGCGCGCGTGGTATGTATGATATACTTGTAAATATATAGACAAGTACAATAATTGCCAAAATAACTCGAATCTCGAAATCGAGTCTTTTTTGATCTTTATCTTTCTCGAGCGGCGCCGACGCTGACCCAAATAATCGGCGGCAAATAATTCGTGACGATTTCTTATTCATCTGGTTTTTGTCTGCACTCAAAATCAACGTCCGTTGCAAATAAATTTTTATTACACTTAATCCGAAATGATCAGCGGTTAAATAATTGATATCTTTTATCGCGAATTATTTGCCAACGTTCGTCGTTAATTATGCAACGTAAAACCACGACGATATGCGAAGATCGAAAGACTGTCTCGAAACCGAAACTGCCAATAGATTATCGAAGGATATCATTCTTGTTCTCGAAAATGTACTCTGAAACTGCCTGTACCGACGCTGCCCGACGAAACTCACTGTTCTTCACTGCCACACATAACCGTATTGTTCTACTTCACATTTACCAATTGTAATAATTTATTATCTCTGCCATTTTTAAACAATAATATAATTATTTTTATTATCATCGAAAAAAACAATATAATAGAGATTACTATTTTACAATCTTTTACATACTTTATATTCTTGTATATTAACTTTCAACTCTATCATAATGGTCGAGAATTAATATAAGTATAAGAAACTTTATCTCTATCGATGTGATGTTTGAATTATTATTTCAATTATCATCGATAAAAGACATAGTTTTCTATTACTGTTTTCATTTTCCACAAAATGCATTTTTGCCGCATTTGAAACTCTTTAAATACGTATTCATACGTTATATAATTTCGCATTCGTCGTGGTTCTACGATTATTACTTCGGTGATTTTATAATGTTTCTTTTTTTGTCGGGCCGCTTTAATATAAAAAGAAAAGATCATTGGCGAATACACACACGATACCATAATACTATATTTTAGTAAAAGAATTTATCGATATAATGTGTATCTGTAGGTGCGTAACCGCCGGCCGCGTAGTGTCGGCGATCTCTATCGCGATTTTACCTAATTAACCAATGTAGAATTCTTTGTGGGAACTATAATTACTAGTCTTTAATTCCGTGACGTGCGCGCATACAATTTCGTTTGTCAATGCGAATATATGCGCGCATATCGGATACGGAAAACGAGTATGCGAAGTTGACAGAGTTACTCGAGAGACGGAGTAGTGTACAATGAATATGAAATATAAATTGCCATTTTTTTTATGTACACAAAATATTGTAATTACAATTATACTAATAATTGCTATTATTTTATTATTATTATTATTATTATGTTGATATCGTTATTGCTATTGTAAACTAATAATTATCAGATTTTTGAAGTTATTATATAATAATAATGATTATATTAATTATTAATTTTATATTTCTAACGTTTATTATTATTACGTAAGCAAATTACAATTGTAATAATTGCGGTTTTGATTTTTATACATAATATTTTATACATACATATATATATTATAAGAAAACAAAGAGGAAAACGATCGACTACTTTTCAGGAGACGTAAGTGTATTTTGATATAGAGCATATATATATGCTATATATTGTGTGTACGAATAATTGTGGCACGAATAATTCTATGCGTCCGGTCTGCGCGAGATCGTAAGATCGCAAAACGAATTTTATCTTTATGCGAAGTCTCGCGTTGAGTCGTTTGTGTCTCCTCCCGTTTATTTTTCGGCTAACGAACATTGTACAGGAAGACATTAGAATGTGAATTGTATTTTTTTATGGGAATTACTTTCGACAGAGCAAATATTAATTGTACACCAGAAATCGAAGAATATCGAGAAACTTGATCTGTGACTGTTCGAAATAGTTTACGAAATAATTTATCACGTGAAATTTCAACGAACCAACAATATACTGTTTCTTAAGTTGATGAATATTTTCAACAGGCCAGTAGCGAGAGCTTTCGAATTGTAATCGTACTTTCGTGGCTTTTCTTTGACAAAAAATTTCGCAGTTTATCTCATGCTCGAACTGACGTGCGAATATAATTCGGTTTGGATACCATTCAATACACAAAACTCGATCCTTCTTCAGGACGTCGTGTTACATACGTCCCCGATTAAGGCTGTAAATAGGAGGTATCAGGCGTTCGATGAGCCACGTTCTTAAGGTTCCCAGTAACTTCCGACATTTAAGTGCCTAAAGACCCAGAGACACATATATTCTCTTCGTTGTCTAGTTTCTACGGTTGGATAAGGCATTGCTCGTTGAAATGACAACGACAAGAACTAGCGCTTGTCCGCTGTGTGTAATAAATTTTGTTTGTACGTATATGATTTGTCGTCGCGATGCGATAGGACATCTCACGAAAATAGGATGATTAATGAATTCACATTTTTTGATTTTCCAATAGAGTGGAATATATAAACAAGAATAATTGTCTATATTGCAGTCTTTTGCAATATCTACAACGTACCTGCGTGTATGAAAATATATCGCACAATAGTGTTAAAAACTTTAAAAAGAAGACTGCACAATTTTACCAGCTTTTTAAATATATCGAAGGAATCTTCCACGTTTCTTTCTTGTATTTGTCATCTCTTTAAATTGTGTAAATTATAAGTTGCTAAATGGAAATGTGTGTATACAGCGCATAGAACAATGTACAAACTATTAACTCTCTGATACACATTTTTTGATAGTCAAAATAACTGGCACGATACATATTATTTTCTTATTATTCTCATTTAAAGATATCGATTTACTGTGACAAATCATATTTTTCTTTTTTTTTTCCACATTTACTACATTGTGCGCCACAAATAATCAAAATCCCAATAAGAATTCGATAATTCATCAGAGGGTTGAATAAACAATATGATGCGCCGAACGTTGCAAGACCAAGAAAGGATGCAATAAATAATGACGAAGTCTACATTACGTACGTTTCTATAAGTACGTTTCTCTTTGTAGAAATGAAACTTAGAGTACACATTAAGAATTATGGCAACGCTTTATTCAACTTTGCTAGTTTTATGTCGCAAAAGATGAGAGACTGTCGCTTGGCAACTTCAGCAGATCTCAGCACTCCGACGAAACGACTCTCTTTACTCTAGATAAAAAAAAAAAAGATTGTAATTGTAAAATTATGTCAATTTTTAGCAGAATTATTTGTAATATGGCTATATAATTATTTGTAATATGGCTATAATATGGTTAATATTTGTATAATGGCTTTTTGTTTCTAAGCTCAGTGTTTATTAGATAATAATTACTATTAGAGGTATATTAGATAATAAAAATAAAACATTAAAAAAAGTAAAATGAGTTCTCAAAATTCGAACAATTGACTATGAATTGATTCAGAATAGCAGTGATGAGTACTTGAGCTAAAAATATCGGATAATGAAAGTAAGTAGTTCTTAATCCATTTATTTAAAAATAAAACACAAAATTATATTGACATAAATTAATCAATTTATTTTTTATCAATTAATAATGTTTAAGATAATTTTGTTTAATATGATATAATTTAGTTTATAATACAGTTGCTTAAACATTTTGATTATATTATTCTATTATTGCAATTGATAATTTTACAGAAGTTATAGGTGCAGCTAATATTCGGGCATATTTCATGATCTTCTCTCTCTCTTCTGTATTTAAGCCTCTTCTTCATCGCTAAAGTCGAGTAAATCCATAATATTTCTATGCTTATTTAAATTAGTGTTTACATTATAATTAGTGTTTACGTTTTGATTGTGCCCTTTATTTAAATGTGATATGTCGTCAAGAGTACGTCTGACATTGAAATGGTTGGCGTTGAAATTTGTATTTGTGTTAATGTTTGCGTTTTTGTTCTCGTTGCGGTTTTTGTCTTTAGTTCGTTGTGTCACGGGCTGAAAGGCGAAGGGTTTGAAGGGTGGTTCGATATCTTTGTCGTCATCGAAGCCTAGCGCCGTTCGAAGGATACGAATACTGTTGGAATCTAAGGGAGCCACGTTTCTTCGGGTAATCTGCGTCTGCAATACAATTTAGTTTTTAAAGTTCATCCAATTCTTGAATAATTAGATTAATACAAATCTGTATAAAAATTAATAAAATTTAAATTTTATGCTTTATCTGTTAAAATATTTGTAGAAAAAGAGAAAAAGAGAAAATAATTTTGTTTATGTACATATAACAACTAAAAATTAGATTTTTAAAATTATTTATGTATATGCGTTAATGAAAGAAGACATATATTCCATTTGTCAAAATTGGTATTTAGTATTTATGTTATTTGCCTGTTTTTAGTATTTTTATGTAATTTTTAATATATATGTACCTCATTGGTGTCATTATTAGGAATCTTTGAAAGTTCCGAAATTAAATTAAATATTTTCTCAGCTGGAACAAGGCAATTCAATGTGGATTGTTTGGCTTGTTTCGTTTCTTGGAAGACTTTTAGATTTTCAATTCGATTTTCAATTCGTTGCAATGAATTCAGAATAGATTCCACATAACGCAATCTTGATGCGTCACCATATTGCGTCAATAAAATCAGGAACTCATGAAAGAAGAAGAAGATTAAAACTAAATTACTGTATATATATCCTACTTTTTTATAGTAAGCAATTCCAGAACAAGTTAAAAAACAGAGAATAAATAGAATGTACAAAAGAAAAAAAAGGATAGTATATCATTTAATATATAAACTGAATTGAACAATTTTATTCGACAAATATTTTAACAAAGAACAATTCACTTACTAAACAGCCGAGTATTCGGTGCGAAATCATCGTGGAAGATATGATGATCGATCAAGATTCTTTTCGACTTGTGGATCGATCGCACGGCACATGTTATATAGACATGACCATTCTAGAGACTGTCGTAGAGAGAATATTATCTGTGACCTTTAACGGTTATAGATTTAAAAGTCGTTTATGAATCTCCATTGGATGTAATGGAAAATTGCCGATTTTATCAAACGATCAGTCAAAGTGTTATTGCGCGCCTGAGTGAACATATAAAATTCAATTTATATTTTGCGATACTATTAATTGGCATGCAAAATTGTAAAATCGTAATGTCTTTGATCTTTCATCGAGCTAGATATATTACGCGTATATAATGAAATATATATATATTTTAATTGTTAATAACGCCAGATTATAAACTCCCTTTTTTAAAGTAATTATTGAGATTTTTTATTTCAAGCAAGAGGAGAATAAATATAAGGTTAAGTATAAGATTGTAAAAAAGATTATTACGTTTTTTAAGGAGGCAAAAATACATAGGAATTGAGTATTCTTACCCATTATTTCATACAGGTGGGTTTTCCGAAGGTTTATCGATTATTTAAATGCAATTTATTATACCATGCTGCAATTCTTAAACTTAAACGCATTTAAACAATTTAAATAACTTTTTAAAAAATTTTTTTGTGGATTATATGCAAGTGTGCGTTTAATTATAATTCTTAATTTACAATTTTAGTTAACAAATATTTTGCAATGGATCCAATTGGATCCAATTTCCATTTTTTTTAGAATAAAACAAATAAAATATTAAATATATAAGGAATATTCTATATCAACAAATAAAAATTAACATAAGTTAATTGAAATTAAACTATCTAAATTACCCATCAAATTTAGTTGATACAAAAATAGGGATGTTATTTAAATAATAATAATGGTTAATTAGAGTAATAAAAAATACTGAATAAGAAAATCCCTTTTTTAAATATTATTTATATTTTTATTATCTGCATATTTGCTTAGTACAATGCTATAAATACATAAGATATATTTAGATAAATAATAAAAATTGTTGTAAAAAAATAAAATTAGTTATATTTAAAAATTATTATTATTTATTTTTGATATTATTACACGTTAAAAATATAAGAACGGTCAAATAGTCTCGTGAGATTATAAAAATAAAATACTATGTGATTTTAAAATTGTCTTTAAAATTATCCATCAAAACTTGACGTTATATCTCACTCGATAAAAAATTTTAACAAACAGAAGAAACAATGCAAATTATATGAGATATGTAGTAATATATGATTTAAAACAACGCGCATAAAATTTATGTAAGAACATTACGGGGAACTGTTGGATTTAAAAACGGATTATTTTTGTTAAATTATATTATATTTATTTACAAAAAGAAGAAAAGACCAAATATTAGACATATCTCTCCTTCTAGCAAAATTTGATATCAACAAATAATTACATTAATCCAGTATAATTAATTTTACAAATATTTTTCGGCCAAATAATCTTTTCTTTTTAATAGAAACAAAATATGATGTCAAATTAATGAATCGCATCGAAGATATCCTGTCTGCGTATCTTGATTCTGATATTCACATAATCGTCCTTCTCGTTGTCATATATCTTCACAGGACTGTGAATTGAATTTGTCCTTCTACTAGATACATTCGCCTCGTCGATTTTCGACTGGATTGTTTTTGAGATCATCACTTTCAGGGCAGTCATCATGTCTGCCACGATATCTCTCGCCATTATTTCTTCATCCAGCAGGTTTCTATTTGGCGTATCTCTGGTGAGGGCTCTTCGAGCGATCTTATCGAGTTGGCTTGCCACTTGGAAAACGGACTGTGATGTTCCCCTTCTAGTGGGTGTCGTAAGGGGTATCACAGCTTTTTCGAGCTCTTGAATAGTACTCCTCGAGCTAGTAGGATGACCGGTACGATTGTTCAGACGGGCTTGTATCACCTTCCATAATTCCTCAGCTACCTCTTGTGGATTCAGATTTACGATTATATTTACATTTTGATTTTGTATGGATACCTATAAAGTATATCAGTGTGTTACGAATTATTTTAGAATATTTTAAAGATACTTTTAAGTTTCAGTAGAAATATCGACGGTTAACTGCGTTGGATAAAGTAATAGGCAATATGATAGTCTTTACAATGAAACAAATCTTCATTTTTTGAACAGTTTGTATTATATTATTATATTTTTAAATATGTGATTGAAAAGAATCTTATATGAAACTTGACTTTATTTGTATAAAATAAATCGTGCTTGATTAGAATAACAACAATATTGAACACAACATGCTTTTTTAAAGATTAATTTATTCATAAAAATTAATATACACGATATATTCTTAAATCACTATAAAAAAAATTAATTTTATTTTTATTTTTTACTTTAAATTTCTTACCTCTTCTCGCAAAACTTGCATCTGCGAATATACCTAGAAAGATACACATATAGTGTGTTATAATTAAATTATTAAATAAATTATAAAATTTACATACAAATATATATTTGCGTTATTTCCAAAACATTCAATAATTTTATTCATACTTTAAGATTTAGAAACATATACGATTAATTAAGATAGATGTTAATTAAGATTAATTACAAAAGATTGAAATTAATACAATTTTTAATAAAACTATCAATTGCATTTATAATTAATATTTCTTTACGTTTATTTTGAATACACAATGATTTTATAAATTAATATATAATTATTTTAAATAAAAAATAAATTTATATATAATTTATAGAAATTTTCTTTTTTATGCTAAAGATGCGTAAAAGTTTTTAATGTGCTCTGCCAATGTCATTATCTTATTAGCTGCTTTCCTATTTGCTTTACTATCCTTACTTGGACACTGGTCAGCGCTAGAGCGCACAATATCGGCAAGTACGTCATAACGTAATTGTCTCAGGCGTAATTGTTCGTTCAGTGCTAGAACAACGAATGCATATAGCGAGATACATACCGCATATACATTAAACCGACTTTTTTATATCCGATAACACCCACCGCGACAGAGCTTGCGCGATATCAAGGCATGCGGAAATTAAAAGACCGCGCTCGCCGTGCAACTCATAGGCAGTAGTTAATTCACGATAGTTCGTAATCGCCTCATGATAAGTTCAAACAGACCGCATATAGGCAATCAGTCAGCGGACGCACGCGTTACAGGTCGATACAGCTTATGTCATAGATCGCGACTTTCGCGAATCGCGAACGCGAAACAAGTCCGTACGCAAGCACGATTATTATTTTCTACGTGTTTCCACACTGTCACGGTCATTTATTTGCGATGAATGCCGGATTAACACTTACGCTATTTAATTCGCCTCGATCGCCCGTTATCTTTATATTCTGGCATATTCGACTATCGACTTCGTCATTGTACTTCTATAAATTAACGTGCGGACAATTGTAATCAATTGTGCACAGTTTTTTGATATTTACTTTTGACCGTTTCATTCTTGCACATCATAGTTTTATAGCTGTAACTTCAACATAACGTTATAACAGTATACATCTTAAAAATTTTTTTATTATCTTTATTTTTCCTGATATTTGCAAATTTTTGATCGATATCTATAATAACAAAGCAAATAATTTTTAATAATTATTTTTTCATATTTCTAGTTTTTTTTTCAGATAAAATATGTATAGAATCTTTAATAATAACTCATCATAAATTATCATCAATCGATAAATATATTCTTTCTACATAATATTTCCATTTAGTTTCGATTTTAGTTAATTTTTTTATACATTCAAAAAATAACGCAATTTTTTTAAATGTTTTATTTTTCCACCAGCATTATAATATTATTAATTACATTAAAGAATTTGTTTACATAACTGTTATGTATATCTACTCTAGAATTTCAGACTGAATTTTGCAACGACAGATTCAATATATTTACTTTGATATGTGTGTACACAATTCTGTGATTATATTATTACATATTATTAAGCTAGTTTTGTGGAAAGCTTCTAATGTCTGTGTTAATCTGTAAAATAAATGTACATTAATTTTGTTTAATTTTTTAAATATTTTATATACATTCTACATTTATATATTCTTTATTATATATTTTTATTGACAACTGTTTGCATAAGATTATTTGGACTGATCATATGTTTTAATATCAAGCAGCATCCTATCCTAAATCTCTTGATTATAATCTTGATCTCTTTAGAAATACGAAATATTATTCTCAAGCTAACAAAAAGCGTGATTTCTCTATTCTCTAAAAATATTTTTATCACAAATAGATATAATTACTAATATTATAATTAGTAAATATATATAAGTGTATTAATCATTAATATATAAAATATAATTTTAGATTTTTAAATCACAATACATGCTTTGATTGTCTATTTTATATATATGTATAAAAAAAATTTGAAAATTCTACTTTTTGAGAAAATATGGTTAAAAGGTGACAAATGTTTTGTACATCGTTCGCAATTACATATAAAAAACTGATCAAACTGTAAAGGCCAATATGTTCCGGTTTATCACTTACGGTTAATTGATTTTCACGCACAAAAGTTATAAAGATAGTGAAACTAATTTTATGAAAAATATTTTCTTAACATATGCAGCATTCATTGGAACTAAAAGCTTTATATATATAAATTTGTTATAATTACTGTTATATATTATATTAGATAATTGTATAATTATTCTAATTTTTAATACAGTTATTATATTATATACATTTCTCATATATTCTAGATACTTACTCTGTGATTAAAATTAGATACGTTTCATGGCAAACTTCTGTTCGGCTATCCATTAGTCACGCTATAATGATCAGTCATGTAGCTTTTGCTATTGGGTATTTTTTCCTTTATAACTGGCAATAACGCGTCGGTTAATCGACCGCTGATCTTCGGTTTTGTTTCAGATAGCTGCCTATGCAAGTTTGCATCTTTTGAGTTATCAAGAAAACGAAAATAATTATTGGATTTTAATAGATCGTTATCAATGCGAGTATTTCGATTTCCAATCGATTGACTCATCCTGATTTTAGTGGATGGATTATCTTGAAGTTTCTTTGGTTCTTCTACATTAGATTTGTTCACGTTTTCAGAATCTCGTAAATCCAATGTGCTGTTAGAATTCTTGTCTTGATATTCAGTGGTCGACGATATTTGTGATGCGTCGGATTCCGATTGATTAGGTGGCCTCTCAGTTGCAAGATTTTTCAAAAATTCACTTTCGTTTCTTTGAGATAAATTTTTTAAAATCGAATTTAATTGCTCATTTGTATAATTCGTTTTTATTTCATCCACTTTTTCAAATGCTTCGGGCTTTATTACTTTATCATTGATAGAAGCAGATTGGCTATCGCTATTCTCTGCTTTATGTTTAAAATTTTCAAGATATTTCTGATTTTTTTCGATAGGTTTCGAAAGCGCGTTAGTAACGTTCTGAGATTGTGAAATAGTATGATTCAGTAAATTATTTTCGGTCTTTGCATTACCCGGTGCTGGTAGAACCTTAATCATCGATTCTACGAAATGTTTCGCATTTGACAAAATTTGACTCATTACAGGTAAATCATTTACGATTTGTGGATTGAAAATGTTTTCAAAATTTTTTATCACAGTTTCATCAAGAAATCTCGGACTTACACCATTCTTTCTATCTGACTGTTCTTGTTTATTTCCTGACCACTGATTAAGTTGTTGATTCACATTCTCGTGTAAATTCTTTATAATTTTCATACCCGGAATATTTTTTGCTAGATCGATGCCAAACATTCGTTGACTCACTTCAGGCGTCGTTTCCCGCACATTTTCCGACTCTGGAAGAAACTTATTCACAGTTTCAGTTAAATCATTTATATTTGTTGCATTTGAATTATTTTTTATTAAATTAATTGAAGTAAATAATCTTTCATTAATACCGTCTATTGTTGAATTCTGAGAATTTTGTCCGTCAGAATTAATATTATCCGCACTTGACGAATTGCTTATTGTATATAAATTAATTGATTTTTGCGAGGAATTATGGACGTCGTAATTACGTCTGACAATGTCAGATGACGTGTTCTGAACATTTTGTGCAAGCATTGGAATTAAATTCCTCGTCTTTGAATTGCGTACAACATTAGTGTCTTCTTGAAAATTACTTGGATTATACAATCCTTGTGATTGCGTAGAATTGAGGACAGTTTGATCTTGATCCAAATTTTCTAGTAAAACTCGATCGTTAATTTTTATTTCAGAATCAATGATGAACGAGCGATTCTGGATTTTATCTTGACTCTTGTCAGGCCGTTCTAGATTCGCTTGAGGTAACGATTGCGTTATGGGAGCTTCAATTATCGAAGGTGATAGATTATCGTTGCGTCCATTGCATTCGTGGTCTCTATCAGTTCCATTTCTCAAATGCATTAAGCGATTTGCAGTATGCACCGCCAATTGTAGAAAAAGCTTCAGAATATTCTCATTTTGAGCAACCGAATCTGGATCATACTGCAAATTACTCCAATCGATATTTGGCGGCAAAGAGTAAACCTAATAAAAAAATATAAATTATTTTACTACATTTTCTTGTTCATATAATTTTACACTGTACTCAAATGGAAAGACTAAATAATTTAATGATATATTTTTTTGTTTTATTTATTAAAATAAGAAATAGTTTAATATATGGCAAAATATTAACTTTAACTAAGCTAAAGCTAAAGGCCTTTTTAAATTCCTTATTTAAGTTTATATTACCAAAGAGATCAACACGTTAATAATGATCAAAACGGAGTTGCTCGGCCGCATTTTACTATTTACTGTAACGACGTAAACGCAACTGCCTTAAATATGATCGTAAAATTAATATCGAGTATTTTCTATCGTTATACGATTTTAACGACTGTCCCGATAGCCATATCGCGTCTTCATGCATATCGGGATTTGTTGTTACCATTTAAATTCTCTACAATCGTCTCTTTTTTTTTTTAAACCGCATGCAGTTTATTACAGATCATCTAGATTGATAATTAAAATAACATTTATTGAGCAGTATTTGACTACACAGAAATGATTTCGTGGCATGATTCCTTAAATAACCTTTGATTATTAATTACGAAAACAAGCTCCCAAGATGAGCGGCGAAAATATAATAAGCATTTCAACGTCACGGCAATTGCATGTATTTGCACATTTTCTATTATACATACAAGAATTTAATTAAACGATTTGCTTTTATGTATAGCAATTGTTCGTATATCCATAAATATTACTTTAAATAATAAAATGTAATAATAAAAGAAATTTTTTAGAGAAAAAATATAATATGACACAATTTTCATATCTTATAAGAGAGTGACTAATGTCGAGACTGTTAAAAATGTCTCATATTGTTAATAAAACGTATTTATTATAGAAATCTAGAGAGGGTGATTTTGTGCGTATCTTCAGGGTTGAAGAGTCGCCAGAAAGGCTGAGCAGCTTTCTTCCGTAGGCAAACATTGTCCGAACGCCTCTAGTAATAACGGTTCTTCTTTAATCGCTATTTCATAATCACGGAAAGATATTTTGCCATCGTGATCGACGTCGAGCTTCTTTAAAGCTAGTTCTGATAAATCTTTCACTCCTTCGTCTGGATCCTCTTCGCCAGGCTGTTTTATCAGACAATTTCTACGAATACATGAATAAAATATAAATATATATATACATAAATAAATAAAAGAATTTTTACCGATTGTAAATGTGTGATACAATATGTATAATAGACAAAAATAAGATTATAATGAGATAAAGTTTTAATTATCTTACTTAAGTAATTGGAAGATTTCATCCTTTGTGATATATCCATCGTTGTTCAGATCGTATACACGAAAACAGAAAGTGATTTTGTCACGCAGATTGCCTCGCAAAAACACGTCGAGTCCCATGATCCAAGGCTCTAATCGAATAACGCCCTCGATCTCTCGGTCCCAGCAGCAGAATAAACGCTCTACCAAAGTGTCCTCCGTGATTACGTGAAATGTATTGTGGAGGAGTTCTCGAAAAATATTTCTATCAATTCCCTGAGATGACAATGAAAATGAGATATTTTCTAATATTTTATATTAACTACATATGTATATAATTTATTTTTATATATTAATAATTTAAACATTTTTTCACTTTCAGTTAATAAAAGTTTATAACGTTAATTAACTTTCGATTGTAAATGGCTTAAGTACCTCGACAGCTGGCCTCGATTGTGGCCTTCTACCGATGAATATCGATCGTTCAACTTGTTGTTGATTGGAATTGGTAGTTAACTTCTTGTAAAATTTGCAGAGATTGTCTAACTCGACCCTAATAAACCAAGTATACATTAAATGATAATTTAATAGTTATAATAGATAATGATAATAATATATAATGTTTATTTTTTTCAATTTTTATATAAAATTCTACTATTAAATTAATATAATTTACAGTAGAGTTTAATTCTCATTCATATTTCCATTTGATTTTTTATCAATTTATTGTTTTATAAATTCTTATGTCTATTGTTTTAAATTCTCCAGGTTTTATATCTCTTTCTCTTTGTAAATCCTTCTTAATTGAATTCTTCACTTTTTATTACGTGAGTAATTACGTTTTTTTATTACTTCGATAAATGCAATTGCAATTATACACTCGCCAAGAGTACAAAGGAAAAAAAATCCGATTGACAATTAAAATGATTCGTTTAATGCGACTGATAATCAAAATAAGGTACTTAAAAATTAATGATCGCGGCAATCGACGCATTGTTAATCAACTCGCCTGGAGAATCTCGTCTTTTTTTTAAGAGACTCGATCACTTTGACGATGTACGCGGAGTTTCTCCCGCCTCCGCCCTCCGGCATCCTTCTGCGACGTCTCCTCCTCGGCGACTCGTCCTTGCCGGACGCGGCGCAGCTTTGCCGTTTTGAGTTGACGGATGCCTTGCGACCGCTTGACAGGAATAGGGAGACGCTCTTGATGAGCGTCGCGCCGGCACGAAGGCTTATGCTGGCTGGACACTCGGCGCCGACGCCGACGCCGACGCCCGACTGATCTCCCCTTGCCGACGTGGTGCTCCGTTGCTCGGACATGCCGGTTCAATGACTGAAAGTGATTCCAAAATGATTGGTATTTTAATTCAGATTGTTCAGATGCACTAGAGATTTAAATAACAGATTTTCGAGAATTTTTTTATCTGAAGAAATAAAATAATTATGCAATATTTTTTAAATATATACATATAACACAACTGTCTATTTATTTCCTAAAGAAAGAAATAAATGGCACTGAATTATTTGGACAATTGTTTTTTATTCTTAAATTTATGTAGTAGAATATATATTAAGAGTAGCATATATAATAATTTTATAATTACTATCGCTGAAATAATAATAATAATATAATACATATACTTTATTTGTATTATATTCAATTAGATAATGTTTTGTGCTAAAAACGTAATGAATAATAATCACATATATACAGTACTGATACGATTAAGTATTTGCAGACAGACATACATGATGAGATTTCTTTCTTTGTTTCTTGCAAGTTGCACGTATACAAATGGGGCAATCATCATGATTGTAATAAAAATGCAAATTTGCTTAATAGAAATAGAAAAAAAATGTATGAAAATAGAAACCGTTACCACGAACCGCTATAACCATTCCACTCGATTGATCGATAAGAAATAAATCACAAAGATAGCTTTTTTTATTAACGGTAACCGAAAATTGCGAACGCGGTTAATCAAAGCCGACTTAACTCATCAAAATATTGCCTCTCCCTTTCTCTCTCTCTCTCTCTCTTTCTCTCTTTCTTTCTCCCATGTCCAACCAATTTATTATTATTTACGATCACATTTGCGTAATTCTCTTGTTACTCGATTTTGCTCGTGAAACTCGTGTGCATTTTCGTGGCACGAATAATATATTCTAATGAACTCAAATCGCGCATTTACATGCGCGTAACTTGAACTGCGTGCACAAATAAAGAAAATGCTATTTGCATTTTATAGGAAGAAAGAGATTACTAAGATTTATGATATAAAGCGCAATCTAATTTACATATTGTACACATAAACATAATTTAAATTATATCAAAAATACACTAAAGAGATATTATATCTAATATTATATTTCAATTTGTGAATAATATATATTAAAACTACTATTGTAAAGAGAGTTCATGTCTCACCGTCGTTTTGCGAGATAAAATGTAAAAACTTTTCTCATTAAATAATGAATATAACTACGCCGCAAGTTATGTCCGAAACTCGTGCATTATTTTGAATTTGTTTCAGTCAAACACGCAATACCAGGTAGAACACGGAAAATCGAGAAACTTTGGAGTATCTAAGCACACCTCTCTTTTTCAACTTCTAATTTATGTATAATATTTTACAAAAACATATGTTTTACACATGTTGTTATTTTGCAATATTTAAAAGCAACTCAACTTTGAAACTTTAATGTTAAGTCTTTATAATATTTCTACACTTAAATAATTATTTTTAAATATAGAACTTACTTATGAACAGAGTAATAAAGCGCTTGAAACATGAGATACAATTTCTTAAAAGAGCTAGTATTTTGAATAATGCATGTCTTATCTTCGAGTAATCATTTCTAACAACGCGCATGCATCGAGAATCGCTCCTGCAAACGCAAAGAGACAATTCATAGCACACGGAATTGCAATTTTGAAAGCATAATTTTAATCTTGGATAAAATCCCTACAATTTCCTCGCGTTATATATGATTCTAAGTCTATTTATTTTATATATTATTTTTACACACACAATTATGTTTTTTATTTTTTTTAAATTGTTTTGCTGAGGACAATTATATATGATATAACAATTTTTTAAATTCTTATTTATTTTCTTTTTCTCGGATATATTAATTATAAATATAAATTTTAAAGAAAATTTAATAACTTTGCGAATGTAACTTTATTTTATGATTCGGGCTTATAGAGAAAGAGAACTATGATAGTACGCGAAATTAGATCGTGCTACGATAATGATCGACACTTCTATTTCGAAGCTATGGATTCCCTCAATTTAACTTCTCTAACTTCTAGCAACGAGATTGCATGTAGCATGCATGTGAATCTCATTTTAATCTATAAACGAATCAAAAATATACCACCATATATATATAGTAAATCTTGATATGACGGCCAATTTCCCAGATTCTACAGGATTTTATGTCAGATAAGTCACCTTACTATTTAAGAACGCAAAGATTTTTGGAAAATGCAAATTATATAAAAAAGAAAATTGATTATATATGTATGTTTATATGTACATTAATAAAAATTCACATTAGAAATATTCGAGGAATATTATATTATCATATTATATTCTTTATTATTTTTATTTGTAGATATTAATTACAAATGGAAAAAGTTACGTGATTTATAATAAAATTAACCAAAATATTTAATTCCACATTAAAATATAACACAGTAATAAATAATCGTCAATAGCAATTGCACACTTAATTATTCGAAAGAATATTATTACTAATAATTTATCACTGCAATCAAAGACACAAAAGATTTTCTGTCCTCATTATCTCTCCCACTGTGTAAGAATAATTCGAGGTGTTAGAATCTGGCTAAAGATTATCAAAACGAATTCACTATCTCTTGTTTGTTTAGTATGCGTTTAGTGTGATTGACACGTTCGATTAAATCGGAAAAAAACTTACCGATTAGTGACAAAGGACTCCTTCCGTCGCGATCAGAACTTCGTCGTTAGAAGCGACTACGTTTTATCGATCAAACATATCAAATAGCGAGGTTGAAAAAACGCAATATCTAGCAACAGATCGGATAAACATGCATAAATTTTCATCATCAAACGTCAAGACACAAACCGCGCTACAATAAAGTTAAACAATTTGGATAACAAAAATTTTCAATATAATTTTATTAAAATTAATGATTTATTTTGTTTACATTATCCGATGGAAATTATGTAGCATAAGTAATGTAATGTAAGTAATGTAAGTGTCTACAATTAATTAAAATATATTTTTAATGATGTATATTATAATTAAGTAAATTTTTTATAATGTTTTTTTATCGGGAACATGTATATTTTAAAGTTTTTAATATTTTTATTTTCGTATATTATAATACTTCAATACAATGACATGTGAATCTTTTTTTCAGCATATTAATTCCACACAATTTATATTTTTTTTGTCTGACTGATGAGAAAAATATTATCATTAGATATTTCTTCTGAAGTGATCGTGGACGTCAAATGATGTTTCCTAAAAAATATAATAAAATTAATGATTAATAAATCAATATATTAATGATTCTGTATTCTTTACAATTATTTCTGTAACAATCTTACTTGCATAGTTTGTCTAAGCATTTTTGAATTTGCATCAAATGATGTTGGATATCAATGAGCGTATTAATCATTTCCTCTAACATTGCGAAGGACCTAGTTTCTTTGTATCCCTCAGCAGCACGTTCTACATTAAAATTTTAAGATATTACCTGTCTTATTTTTTATACAACATTTACGTCAGTATATCATATAGTTCATATAGCTTAGTAATTTAATATTTAGAATTTTATTAGTGAATTATATTCCGACTGATCAATATTAATAAAATTATTTATATGTACGTATTTTATTAAAGATATTTCCGGATACTTACTAATCCGGATATGTTCATCAGTAATATCTCCATCCTGATAGACGATATCAATCTCTTTCATATAATCGATTAAATCTTTTACATTATTCACGCTTGTTATCGTCGATTTGTTATTCAGTGTTTGCAAGATATAATTTGTATCATTATCAAGTTTAGCATACATATTTCTCATTTTTGATTGTTCTCGAGTAAGTTGATCAATAAGCGAGCTTAATTCATTCAAAAATTGTATCTAAAATAGCAATGAAATGCGTCGGTTTAGTCTAAATATGATAAATAAATTCTATTAATAATTGATTAATTAATATCCTACAATTAATTAATTTAAGCATGTTTTATAAAATATATACAGACCTCTCGTTTATTATTGTCCTTATCTCTGCTTATTTTTATGGCAGAGTTAATGAGCTTTGCAAAGTTTTTTTCATACGATGTAATTAGCTCTTTTAGTTGCTCTGGCATATTTATAGAAGCCTCTTCGTCTATTAAATTTAAAAAGTTACAGTGGTTTTTACTTAATTCGAGGATGAGCATTGTAATTCGATATAAATCTATGCAAGTTGCAGTCTGTGTTTATTTAATTAGATAATTAAGATAAGTTTAAATCACTCGCGTAACCACTCGTATCATCGAATGCACGAATACCTAATTTTTAATATAATATGTGATAAAATATATGCGATTACCTGTGTCTCCTACGTTCGAAGGCGCGACCGAACGAGATTGCGCCTGAAAATTATATTCATATCAAGACACAGTTACCTGTCACTTGGCACTTATTCATATTTAATATGAGGAGAGCAAAAAAATCCGAGTAATGATAAATAGACAATACACGTATAGGAGGGACATTAATTTATAAAACTTACTCCAATCGTGACGGCAGTAAATAGAATCACGAGAAATTTCATCTCCATTTTTCGATCACTCGTCGAAATCGCTCTTGGTACGTAAATGAAACTCTAACAGGTCGCTCTGATGAACGAAACCGTTTTATAAGCATCATGTGCGTGAACAAAGGCACTTGCGTATATGTCGTTTTTCAAAACATTCGACGGAAACATCCGGTGGAGAATAAACGAACATATCGTTATGAATCAAAATTACGCGAGTGTGATTATTCTACGCAAATAGACATGTGTGCAATTGCATTTTATATTATCGCAGGAGAAATATATTTTTATTATTTTTTAATTATTAATTTTTTTCTTCTATCAATAGAGGATGAGTCGCGTTATGATTAGAAGATTGATAATGTAGTGGTAAAACAAACGCGATGCGCTCTTCTCGAATTTGCATAGCATGATAATCTTGTGACGTTTCTGCGCCTAAAACTGCGATCAAGGATATTAGACCGACGAATGCAGAGGATTGAGTAATAAAGACTACAATCAATAGTCTGAATTATTCATTAGTATATTAAAGGCTGATAAAATGGATATAAGAGAATATTAGCATTCAATAATGTATCGGATTTAAAATTTGCGAGGCGCACGATGAGACGCATTAAATTATTTATATCAATGGCAGTTTATAAAATTGATAAGTATTAATAATTGTTTTATTATATTAAAAAGATTAGAGGATAAATAAGGAGGTTTATTTCTTTCTTAAATAAATGTATTACATAAAGAAAACGTTTATACACACACTAATCGCACAAGTATAATTGATTTATTGTTATGTGAGTTCACTTTCAATGATATTGATCATATTTTTAGATCCAATTTCATCGTCCATATCCATATCCACGGGAACTGCAATCAAAATATTATTGTAAAACATATGCTATCAATATTATTACATAACGATAATAATAATGGATAAGATTAAAATGACAAGTAACTAAAATTACATCTAAAATGTTCGCGTGGCAAGAGATATATTTTACGCTTTTTGTAATGTATCAAAAATTCTCGATTTATATCATTTTGTTTATATTTACCCAGAATTAGCAAATGAGTTTGCGAAAGAACCGCTGCCGAATGGCGTGCCTATTGAACCGGCACTGGATCCGCTGTTAGCGAAGGACCCACCACCGTATCCAGGATATGTACTTCCGCCACATCCTCCACCGCATCCTCCATAGCCGCGTTTGCGATAACCACCTCCGCCGAATCCGCCGCCATATCCGCCACCAAATCCGCCGCCAAATCCGCCGCCAAATCCGCCACCAAATCCGCCACCAAATCCGCCGCCACGACCATATCCTCGTTTAGAACGAACGAGCTCCGGCGTGGCTGCTCTGATTATTCTTTGAAGACCTGAATAAAGAGTTTTAGAGACTTTACTTTCAACATATAAAATTAAACTGTTACATTTTAAGAAATAAATTTTGAAAACTTATTAATAATAATTTTATCAATACAATATATTAAAGATTTTGCATTACTTGATGATGTATATATTTTTGATAACGAGCATGTAATGTATTTACATAATAAATCACGAAATATTCAAAATGTCAATAGCGGCTATAAAGAGTAGATAAACTGATTGACTCGTGTTTAACTAACGCGCTATTAATGCGTGCGACGCACGTTGTTGAAAACTTAGACAAAATTAAGCCGGAGTCACATAACATACAAATTAGTAAATATATATGTAATATTATATTTTAGAATTAAATTTACATGTGTGTTATTCACACACACACACATATTCCGAATAAAAAAATATTTTTAATAAAATATTTTCCATTATCTTACGATCTCGATAAGAATTCAATTAAATAGCAATATGTTACACATAATTCGATATTTATCACGTTTTCATCACTTTCACACATATTTCCACCGTCTAATTCTATCGTTTTTTTTCAGGTTTACCTTGAGATTGCAAAGCAGTCGTCGGCAATGCGACTGCAACTGCGACGAGTAGCGCAACAAGCGCAAGGATTGCGATCCTTGACATTCTGCCGATGATGATCGTACTGCAAGCGCGAGTATCCAGTGCTAAATGATGACAAGAAAATCGGCCAAGCAGTCTTTATATATATGGCAACCCATACGTGCGTTCCGGGATATCCCGGCGTGTTTTACGCAGGTACGAAACGCAAGCACTTTCGGGCCGCATCGAATCAGTTGTATATCATTAGCGCGAACAAAACGAGTCTTTTCTTTGTCAGTGTTGAGGTTGATGATGCGCCGTCGGTCCCCGGGTGTCCCTGAAACGATTCTCTGCTCGCCTGAAATATTATTTCGTGACAAGCTTGAGCAGATGAGCTAAGCAATCCTCGGTATCTCTTGATAGATTATCTTAATCGTTGCTTCTTACAAATTTTAAGGAAAAAAGAAAAGCGCAAGAACCGCAAGATCAGGTAAATCGCTAACAAAATATTTGTAAAAAAATTAAAACAATTAATTAATTTATTATAATAATAATAATAATTATTATTTTAAGCTAAAGTAATTTACACTAATATAATGTACTATTGAGTTGTCAATAAGAGAATTAAGGTAATTTATATTTAATAATAAACTATTTAATAATTAAATAATATATATATTTTTTAAAAAGTCTAATGTGCGAGAATAAAAGTTTCCTCCTTGGAAAATTTTTATAAAAGTGGAATGGAAAATTTCATTTTTATAGAACGCAAACATTATAATCAAATATTTTACATATAACATGAAAATAACATGATTTGCCATTTGTTAAGTTATAATAAATTTACAAAAAAAAATCTAGAGAAAATTTATTTCAATTTTTAACTCTTTCAATAACTTTTTACCCATACAGGTTATTGCATAATACGATATTTAAAATACCACTTTTCAAGCTGTCGTCATATATGTATATAATAGCCTTCAGATGATATTTATCATCCAACATTACCTACATTTGAACTCCCGGAATAGCCGGCACGCTTTAAGAACCGTGTAATCTTGCTTGCCTGAGAGATACATTAGCGGTCAACTAGCGGCCTTGATTTTGTCCGGACTTCACGGTCTTAGGTCGTTGAACGAATACACCTCGGGATTCCCATCCAGGTGCTGTTACTCTTATTACTATTAACAACATAATTTGACGATTGAGGGTTTGTGGAACAAACTACGCAGATTAATTAAGTTTCTCTTAACTTTCAAATCTCTGTGTTCTAATTAAATCATATCGATTGCTTTTAAGATAAAACTTGATTAACGAATAAAGACTTATGTATATATGTTTTATATTAATTAAAAAAAATATAAATGTACATATATATTAGATATACATATATTATATTCATTTATAATTTGTGCAAATTATTATTTAGGATACAAGACTTTGAAATAATCTTTGAATATTCAATTATTAATTATTATTAAATATTAGATATTATAGATAATGGATTAGAAACAATTGAAAGGTTTGTATTAGAAATTATTGATAAAATATGTCATTATTTTTAATAACATGAAAAATAAAGTAAAAAGTAAATATTAAGGAATTGTGTAGGTAAAATTAGCAGATGACATACATAGATTGTGTGTAGATTTGTTTCAAGCAATTTTTTAACTGGCAGCACTTTAAAAATTTATTTCATAATGGAAATCCCCGTTATTATTCATAATTAATATATATGTAGAAGAAATTCATTAGCATGGCTTGACTCATAAGTAATATGAACTTCTCGTTATAGTGTCATGCGTATTTATACATTACGAAATATATTTACGTACTCTGTTGCAAAAATGCTTTGGAGTTTCATTAAATTATTTAGAAATTAGAAAAATAAAATTATATTATACTCGCACATTAAACTCGCACGTATTTTGCATCGGATCCAAACAGAATTGTTTTAAAAATTACGTAAAACTTAAATTTGAAACTGCCCAGGAGGAATTGCAGGTATTATACGCAACATTCGCATATTTCAACGATTAAAAACCTAACATAATATGTGCAAGGTGAGCCGACAATTTAGTACACTCTTAGTCTATCTCTCGGAGCATAACTTTTCTGATGCGTATGTGAATAGTTTCTTTTCGTCATACATAGCACACACATCGCACTTAAACTGCGTAAACACACGGCGCAAAATTACGGTATAAATTGCGTCAACCGGACGTAATGATTGTTTGTCTTAATTAATCGTTCTCTTAAGAAAACGGAAAAAACATCTTTATATGTGCTACGTATTCGTGAGATATAACTCTACATATATTATCTTAATCCTATCGACCTTTTAATCAGCTATACACATAAATTTAATTATAATATTGCAAATAAAGTTGAAAATGTCAAAGCATGTAGTTTGGCCATATTTCTATCTTCGCCAGCATTTGTTCGTTATATATGACACACAGCTGTCATTTTTTTCTTAGTTTATTATGGGCGATTAAAAATATACTGTTTTGAATGAAATTTAACATGCAGCGTAGCTAATCACGGCTTTTAGAATGCTTGCTAATAGCAAACGAGTCAACTTCGGATTATGTAACATTTGTTGTAATTTATCATGTATCTGCGTAGTCCGCGTTTTTTTTTGTTTTCTTATTTTGAGTCTCAAGTGGACAAAATATGCGAATAGACGAAATAAGCAAGACTTCAGAATTTACGAAGAAACCACACACAAAATATATTTTATTTTAATATTTTCTATTACATTAAAAGCAACCCTATAAAACGATAATAATTTAAAGCTTGGTGTAGCTTATATATTGTGAATTTGTTATTTAATCTACTTATTTTAATAAAGTATCTTACCTAATAAATTGTACAATCTCCAGCAAATTAAAAATTGTTCTTAAATTATATAGTTTTGCTTTTTCATAAAAAATATATACTTTTATATATATACTTATATATATAACTAAATGTTATCCTTTCCTTAAGTATTCAAGATTCTAGAATAAAAACCAAAAAGAAACAGCAGTCTCTAAAACTCAGAAAAAGAATAAAGCGGGGATTTTAGTTTTGCCTTAACGGTTTCCAGAATGAATTCATCTTTTTAACTTGCCAATAAGATTGATCGTTTTAAGAGTTAATTATTCCTCGTATGGCTGTGGGCGTCGTTTCTTTCTAATAGAAATAAACACATACAGGAAAATTATATTAGTTCTTATAAATTTGATACATATTTGTATTTATCTTGTAATTATATATACACCATAACAAAATTACATAAACAATGAATGCAAAATTAAAATTGAAATACGTGTAATTCGGAATTAAAATTTTTTTCCAACACGATTAAAGTAGAAATTAATTTTTTAGTATATAAAAATAAAATAACGTCTTTTTATGAAAAGCAAATAAAAAATTAATATGAAATTTAATTTACCCCATAGGAGATCCGCCGTATGCAGTGGCCACCGAGCTAGCCATTCCACCCTTTCCGGTAGAATAACTATTCGCGATGGCCGTGATGGTACCAGGGGAACCGGAGGATCCAGCACGAGTGGCCACTCTAGGAAAGCTGAAGATCATGGGGAAAAAATTGTTCAAATGAGGAAACCCTTGGCGACGTCGGTTGCCCTTGAAAGGTACAAACGGTATGGCCGGCTGGTCGTCATCATAGTCTTCCTCGTCTTCATCTTCATCGGCATCGTCAGTGACGGGTGTCTTGTGCGTCTTCTTCGCATGATGCACCTTTGGTCGAGTAACGGACACTTCCGTGCTTGTCGCAATCGGTTCTTCCGCTGATTGCGGGATCTCTGTGGTTAGCGGAATCTGTTCCGGCTCGTGGTGTTCCTGTGTAAGTAACATATGTACATAATTTATAGTTGTGCTATGAGAGATTTGTGGTGACTTTATCAATATCTAAAGAGTTTAAAAATTAAAAATAAATAAATAATTTTTTATAATTTGTGAGATTTACATTAAACATATTATCTTCTTAACATGAATCTTGGCAGAAATTATGGTCTCCTCTCTTTCTCTCTTTCTCTCTCTCTCTCTCTCTTGCTTTAGAGTTTTTTTAATAATTATTGTATACTTATAAATTTCACGAGTTCCATACCTGAGAGGTAGAAGAATCCTGATGATGATGGTTATGCTTTTCCTCTTCGTGATGGTGATGCTCGTGATATTGCTCCTCCTCGTGACGATGCACTTTATTCTGATGATGATTATGATGATAATGTTCCTCGTCGGATGCTGGCGCCGCCTGCGCCTGAGCGTTGGACACTTCCGGTTCCTCGATCGGCTCCGGACCATCCTTGAGATGAGGTGCGTGCATACCGCTGAAGAAGGTCTGGCCGCTTACGGCGTTTCCTTGCGCGAAGAGGCCCGTTGCATGATCGTCGTTACCCGAGCGACGTATCGGCCTGTAATATCCGGTGAACATCATCGCCCTGTGCGGATATGGGCGGGCGACTGTTCTCTTTTCTCTCAAGAATGGTGTAGGGCTGCTTTTGGGGTCTATCATGACGGAAGCTGTGAATAATGCACATATTTAATTCAAGAATAAAAAATACTACCATTAGTAAGTCAATACATTATATTTTATACATTTATATCATTAGTTATTCCTTTATTTTCTGAAAAAAAAATTTGTGTCTATTAATGAAACTGAAATATTTGTTGTTACTTGTATACTCGAGATATATTATTTAATACATTTTGTTTTTTACATATATTGCAACAGCTGCTAAATACATTACATCTAAAAAAGTTTGGAGATTTTATATTTCTTATATTTCTTATAAAATAACTTTATATAATATAATTTTCTAAATCTTTTAGAAGATAAATTTTCCAAATATAATTTCTAAAATAAAAGAACATTAATTTCAATTTTTAACGCTTACTAGGCTTATCAGGAATCACCCTAGATTCTGCTATCGCGATTATCGATGCGGTGGCAACTAGAAAAAAACTAATCCAGCCTGCCATCTTCGTCAGATTCTTAATCTTTTTTCAAGCTCTACGCAATGATTCTTTCTCTGTTCAATCACTCGTTTTCCTTGAAAGACCCTTCGGGAAGTACCTCTGGCTTGTTTTTTTTTTTTTACCGTCTATGATCGAAAATTGCGATAACCTAGCGATTCACTTCCACCAATCTTGCCGATCTACTTGACGCACCAACTTTTTGCACAATGCTGCTAGACTTGGTTGTCACAATTGGCTTTTATACCATGAGATACACGGACATAGGCAAATACACGGGGATATGGGATGGACCCATTGGTGGACACAGGGGATGTGGAATCGAGCGGATCCCCCACCATAGGTTTTGTCAAATGGTCGCTCGTACGGTCAAAGAATTTCCGTAAAGCACAGCATCGTGATCAACGGCTACGTGATTGTCATGACCGATGCGGTACATGCTTGATTTGATGCATTAATAGTGATCCGCACCGATCGTAAATTCGCGGGATCGAGTCGATATAGAGACAATCATGCTCGATATATTAGGCGCTATGCAAATAAATAATAATTATTGATAGATATATCTGTCAAAGAGAAAATTATTATTGGATAACAATATCTTATAAAATCTAGATTACATCCGCCATAACATAAATATATTAAGGTTTTTTAAATTAAAAAAAAAAATATGAGAGAAAAGATCAATTTTAGATTGAAATTTAGATTGTGAGCTTTAAAGTAATCTGTACACACACATATAATATAATATTTTTATAATTTTATCAAAAACTTTAAATTATTTTTCCGATCTATGATTTAGTTTGATTAATCAAAGAGAGAGAATATTGAACACCCAATAAATCCTGAGATCAGAAAAACTCGGGTTGGTTGAAGGCTTTTGGCTCTGAAACAAGGTGTTTATAATGAATTCACTTGAGAAACAACGAGAATGTGAATGGACAATGTTGTGGAGGGCCGATGACCAGTCGCTTTTCCTCTTTCACGACGCGATTTATTGAATCATCTCGATCGAGACATGCGATAAAGATTTAGCGTCCCAGACAAGTAGACTCGCGGCAAGAGGTTCACACATACACACACATTTTCAATTGTTCTAAAAATATATGAGAATCGAAGGATTTTCCATTTATAGCTTATTATTTGTCTCGAGAGTAAAGTCTTCTTGGAAAGTTTTTAGAATGTCCATCCTATTATCGTTTGATTTCTTTTACGTAATTCTTTTTTTTTTTTTTTAAGTAGAGATTATGAAAAGTTTTTAAAATATTTCTTTACATCGAATATAATTCAAAATTAATTATAATTTAAATATATTTTTAATATATTTTTTTATAAGGAAATATTCCTGTTTGCGTATATATATAATATAAATATTACAATAAAAATACTAGGTAAATTTGTTCTCAAGTTATGTAAAATAAAAATAAACTGATTAAATTTGGGAGAAAAAGTTTATTATATAAAAATTGAAACGTTATATATAACATGTCACAATAAAAAAACTGTAATCTTACGATTACAATAAAATTCGGAACTTTTAAATTCAAATCGGAATAATGATGACTGTGCATGATAAAATGCAACTGCGAGGAAGTCGTCCTGATATTATACATCCCGAGAAAGTTACGACTGCAGAACGCTCCGCTGCATTCGTCACAAACATAAAATATGAATAAAGGCAGGGAGATATGTGAGGAGAGCGCGTCAGTAGTCTGTAAAGATAATTCTACTCTTCATCGCTACCTTTAAAGATGATGGAGCGTGGTAGAAGGAACACTGACACATAAGTCAGCGGATCTGACTATACAGCGCGTTTTACGATTCCGACCACGACATTGGACTCTTATGGATTCCCTGGTCGTTCCCTTAAGAATTATGGTCGCCTCTGACCAGTCGCACCCGCGGATGCTCGAACATGTATGACTGACATAATATTAATATTAAGAGATCACACATTGCGCAGGAAGTTACGTCAAACACGGGTCATTACCCATGTATCGTGTGCAACGTTCTGCACACCATAGATCACCCATAATATTATAAACATAATTAAAATTGAAGACATATAACACTCTTAAAAATTGTAATTTTGTTGAATCTATTTTTATAAAAAATTAATATTTTATTTAAAAAAATTTTTATAACGTATAATCTCTTCGACAATATTCGAAATTTCAGTTTTTAAGCACTAGGAGATTTTTGCAACAGAAAATATTTAAATATTCTTTATTATCTTGATAATAAATCTAAATTACATATTTAATAAACATTTTGCGTTTTTGTAAAATTAAAGTTTATCAAAACGACATGTAGTCCAACAAGGATCAAAGACCCTTTTTCTGAGAATTCTGGATTCGCAAATTAATTCGGCAATTGCGAATTTTAAAGTAGGAGAGTCTCTCGTAATCTAACTACCCGGATCTGTAGAGAAGAGCGCGTTGCTGTGAAGATTAATTTGGATGCTTTCCGAGAAGAGGCAGCGGCGCATAAAAATATTCCGGACAGGGTGATGTACGAATTTTGCGATATCAACCGCGATGCCTATCGTGCCTCCTTCCATCAGACACGCTGCTTTTTGATCCATCTGGTCACGCTCGAAAATACGATATGCGTGACTTGGAAAGCGGTGCGTTTCGGAGTTGATTTATGAAACAGCGCGGAGTCACGACGTACACAACGTCCGCGATAGCGGTACACAGGCGTGATAATCGATAAACCGCCTAACCGATGGAATGCAATAAAGAGTATTTTAACTATTCAAGTATCTAATTTCATTAGAATATTCAATTTTCAACGATTAAATAAACTATAACCATGGCAAATTATTATAATATATATAAATTTAATCGGAACACACAAGTTCTTGATAAATTAAAATTCTTCCTTTATTTAATAGCTGGATTAGACCGATTTGTGATAAATGAACTATATAGTTGATGCAAAAAATTTTATATGCGGAAATATGTCGTTGTTTAATATAGATATTTATAAATGATTTAGAATAAATTTGTCCTCTTTCTCGCCGATAATTCCATTCAATTTAATCCAAAGTTGGATTTTTGATTGGAGACTTTGATTAGACTAATTGATATTGATAATTTTCATATATTTTTGTATTTCCCATCATGTACAATTTAATTCTTTCCTGTAGCACATGGTATATGTTCAGAATTGAAGCATTTTTGTATCAGGGGTTTTTGTAAATTATTTATTTATTTATTTCTTGTCCTAATAATAAATTCATATCTCGTATACAAAGCCGGGGCGGAGTCCTATTCGTCGTAGAATCAAATGCCGAGATTCCCAGGATTTTGCGTTACATACGACTCCCGTTTTCGCGAATGTCTACGCCAACGGGTTTGCCGACAGAATCTCATTTGGTGACATCGCATAGGCTGAATTAAGATTAGCCAATGTCGAATTACACGTGCTGCGTGCGACGTCGATCGGCTCACGTGCGACAAGCGGTCGGGAACGTGAGACATGCTAAGATCGTACTACATACTCCAGCAGATAGTCTAGCCCAAGTGAGATCTTGCCAAATGATTGGCTAGTAAATGATGCTGATTAATTCGTGACGCATGTCAAATCGATTGGGCGATATGTGCGAATTTGTCGTGCGTCAATTCCGAAGTAAAAGATTAAGAATATCTTCACGATTAACAAGACGGTCTCTTGAATTCATATCTTTGATTTAATGATAACCTTGACACTTTCTAAGAATTTTCTTTATTCTATTTAACATATATTCGTATTTGCATAAAATTTAGTAATTTAACGGAACATTATGTGTGTATAATAATTAATAATATATAATATATATGGTTTTATATATGTATATATATTTTTTACTTATAGATATGTTTATTTTCTATATACGATTATATACTTATTATTCAATTTTATTATATACTTCTTATTTAAATGTTACATAACATTTTATAACGACAATTTTTTATAAAATTTACAAGTATTGGCTTGATTGGATTCTGTTTGTAATATTGTGTTTTTTATTGAAAGCTTTTATTGCAAGCTTCATTGGATATTAAATACTCGTAATGGGGATTTCCGTTTTATTTTTCGCAAACCATCGGCTTGAGGCACATTCTGTACTTATGTAGACAACTAACAATACCCACGATCTTATTTGGAAGCAAATCACGAAGTGTAATCCGGTAAGTCTGGTAAGCACAACGGGTTGAAAGACCGCATAACATTTCGCCTGCGGATTGCGTTCATTTTGCAAATTTTTAAAATAGAACAGAGGAGAGGTTCGCGTGTTTGTATCAATATAGTACGCATTGCTTTAGACATACATTCTGTTCAGTAGCGTAAGCAGGATGAGAGAAACGTATCGTGAAAATTGGAAAATTTGGAAAAATAATAAATATTACCATGACCGTAATTTTTATTAACTTATTTAAAGATTATTTACTATCTATTTCACACACAAGTAACAGTATTTTATATAATATTTAACATATATGTGTGTGTGTTTGTGTAAGTTTTTAGTAATCTCACGCTGCTACAAATAATTTTAAAAAATGCTATTTTCCTAAATTAATGAAACAATCATCGTTAAAAAATAAAATCTATAAAATTTTATAAATAATACTGTTAAATTTTAATATTTGACATTTTTACAATTTCATAAAATTTGATAAGCTTAATCAGCCTTCTAGCTGCGCCACTGATATCACTAATCAGCAGTCAGTGGATCGACGACGGATACCCGCTTTGGATTTAACGTCCAGCTTTTCCAGGGAAGACATAAAATAGTCGCAGGTGCACCATCGTCGGCCGACATAAACGCCTGCGCGTATCTACATACGTGCTAGCGATATACACATACGCGAGACAAACGCTACGAATTCTGCATCGCGATGGAGATCCGATGCAAATGCGAGATCAGGTCGAAGACGAAACACCTGCGCCGGTCCATTCTCTTTACTGCCTGAGGAAATTGATCGGCTGGATTTGTATTCACTTCGTAGGATGTTACTTCCGCCCTGAATCGATGCGTGAGATTGAGATCACTTCAACTTTAACGTAAGAATCTTTAATACAAGAGAATTAAACATAAGAAATTATTTATACATAATTATTCATATATAAATAACGATAAATAATAAATATTTTTATATTATGACTAAACAGATGTGCTGTGGTAATATTATTTTGTATAATTTAATAATTACAAAACACACTTGGGGAACACAAAGTTAATTACAGATATTTTTATCTATAATATTTGTTAAGAAAAATATTTTATTTAATAGGAATTTAATTTTTCATCGAATGGTATTGGTGGCAATTTTTCTTCTTCGTTAAATATTTTCTATTTTTAGTTAGATAAATATTTACGAGGCTAAAAGAAGGAATGCGACGTGCGTTCTTGATCCTGCAGCCTTAAATCAATGTCACATCTCGCCATCGTATTTTTATTTGCGTGTTGTAACGTCAAAGCAAAAATATGACGAACAAACGCACGAATGCGTCACAGTATCTGGCTACGAAATCACCATAAAATATATGGTGCCGGATTTAATGCTCGAACATTTTCCTGCTCCCTACGCATAAAAGTAAACGGTCAATCTTTTGCAACGTTTATAACTTAACTGTAAATCAAAACTCAAAGATCTTCCGGCACGCAATCGATTTAAAGAAAAGTCATGCTTTTTTTCGCATTACGTATGCGGACAAAAACTGCGAGTACAAAATACAATTTCATTTGTCAAAGACGATAAACGCATACGGCCCCTTATTTTGCATCATTATTGTTCATGCTTATTAAAGGTAATGCGAAAATTGCGTTCAGCTAATGACATAGAATAAAGACATTATAATACACGTGTCTGTGAAGGAAAAAATTATAAAGTATATAAATCCAAGAAATAATTAAATAAAGAAAGAAAACAAATATTTGCTAAAACTCCGTAAAACCAAAAATTTTAAAAAGGCTAATAACCGATAGAAATCAATAAGTTTAAATCGAATAAAAGTTTTACGAAATCAAAGATCTATGAAATAACAGATGATAAATGTCATTAGGGTTTTCGCTTTTCTTTAATTCTACCGGCGTTAAAAGTGACCATAAGCAACTTATTATTAATTTCAGTCAGTCGACAAGAATACCAGAGATGAACCTGAAGATGAGAAGCTAAAGTGCATGTTTTGGGTGTGCGTGTCACGTGCCGTGGGTGCATCGCGTAGTGTAATGTACGCGATGTATCACCGCATAACAATCGTGATAGCGGCTGCCTTTTGTGCGGGTTGCCATATTTCAGGCAACCGAACTTTTTTTTCGGCTCACATACGAACGCGGAATGCTTGACAATCAGCCGACCATTGCGGCGGCCGCATTGTGGTTTGTGGAACCGTCATGTAAAAGCATGTATATTCGTAAAAAGGTATATTCAAATCGTATTCGTTGGTATCTCGCAAAAATTTATCGCCTTATTCCGCTTTAAAGCACTTGCGCTCTATTAATAATAATAAATCGTATAAAGAGCTGCACTATTTTGGCTTTGGATTGTATTAAAATTTAAAAGTATTATTATTTTAGGTCAAGTATCTTATAATAAAATAATTTTTGCCTAAAAAGTGTAATGTAAATTATACATTTTTTAAGTTGCTGAATATATAATGATAGCATTTTTACCTGTAACAATTAACTATCTTTATTAATTTTTATCTGTCATTGATTTTGCCATGTTAGATTTAGCATTATTAAAGCATTTAATTTAAAAGTATTTTCTTAATTTTTAATAAAAGTATATTATCAGAGAAAAATAAACTATAATATAAATAATTAAATAAGTGAAATAAAACACCTACTGCATTTAAGAAAATCTTATTTTGATGTCTTTAAAACAAATCTTGTGTGTCTACTTTTTATTATCTTAGACAAAACATATCGTGTTTAGCGACTAAAAAAACACAAGATTAATATATGTATATATAATTTATGTTATACTTTTTAAATAGAAATAGATATTCTTTTACTCTTGTTCCTACTGTCTCTCAAGAAAAGTTAGAGTTTTCAGGAAGAAAATGATATATTATCAACGCAAAGTGAGGAAGCTGGAAGTGTTATGACACAGAAGAATTTTATTGTACTTTTTGTTACATGAGCCGTGGCCTAAAAATTCGTCGAAAGAAATGTGATCACAGATGAAGATGTAGAGGGTCGTGCGGTTGTCCTCAGAGTAAAATTTTCACCGTTTCCTAGATTTCAGCAAGTATCCCGCGACGCCCAAATCCAGATACCTGAAATATTATACATAAGTGAGAAAGAGAATCCATACACATTTTTACATATAATTAATATTATTTTGCAAAATCAACAATATAAACATAAAGAATACATTTTAATTAATTTTTTTTTTCACATATTTGTTTTTAGAATTAACTATATAAAATACATTTCTCTCTTCAATCTTGGTGTATATACATATATATATATATATAATTCAGATTTTATTTTGCATTAGAGAAAATTTTGTATTAATATATTACGTTTTTTTTGTTTCATTATCAAGCAAAAATTAAACGTTAACAAATTTTATTTACACAATAATTGTTTAACTATCAGTAAACAATAATCGGGCAAATTTGTGCTGAGAATTCAGTAACATCAAAACTATTATCGGTAGTTGGTATTAACTAAGGTTTCTTAGTTTTGTTTTAAAAGTTATAATCGTGTACACTAATATAATTTGTATTGTAATTTAATCACCACATTAATACTTTGGTACTTTTTGGAGATTATAAACTAGAGATATATAAACTAATTAATTCAAATTAGATTTTATCAATATATTGGTTTTTCCAGGAAAATATTTGTTTTTTTTTTTTTTCAATTCACCTCCTTCGCGCTGTAACGATGCCACGTTTCTCCCTTTTTTCCAGCGTTATACGGCTTCCATCAGTGGAAACGAGTCTGGATGCAATTGCGGTTGGTTTTTCTGGTGGACCAGTAGTTCCTGACGGCACGTTCGACAATAATCTTTTGCCCTGACGATTTTCCTTTGATTTTCTTCTGACATTTAAGTCCGATGATACGACAATTTCATCAAATGTCTGGCCGAAAAATGCTGCGTAATTATGGAGAAAGTTAAATAAAAATAATGTAAAAAACTAGGGAAGAGAGTACAATAAAAAATATTTTAATTGAAAAAAATTTTCAAATAAATCTTTCTTTAATAAAAGAAACACAAATAAACACGCGCGCGCGACAATAGTTACATAAAGTATTATTTACAAAAAAAAATTTTAATGTTATTAGATTCAATTTATTTTATTTTAATTGAATTTATTTTATTTTATTTCAATTTATTTTATTTTAATTGAATTTTATATAATTTATATGTATATCTACGCAAAAAAAAATTGTAAAATAAATACATTTTTTGTTTTTATACTTACGTTTTTCATTAGATGCCGTTCCCTGAGCATTGATTATGACACAGATTGAACTGAGTACCAAAAGGGCTAAAACTCTTATCATTTTGAGACGGAAATTTTAATATGTCCAAAGATCGAAATTTTTGTTATCCTATAAAGTAAACAAACAGAAATAATAAGATACAAGACAAAATATAAGATAAAATATAAAATTATCTCTAATTAATGCAATTCTTTGTGCGGTTACTTTACGCCTACGCAATGAGAAATTCTCAGCATTCGTCGGCTTTAGACAGAAGCGTTAAAAGACCTTCGACGATTCCGCAATCGCTATCCGTAAGAACACGAGTTCGAAGAATTACTAATTGAATCACTTTCTAGAGCGGTCAGCGTTGGTAGAATCTTACGTAAAAGCAACGAGATTGTGCAATTCGACGGTGTTATCGCAACCGGACGGTCACGTTGACATTACACAAAATATACGCATTTCATACATAGATGATATTCAAATATCTCCTACAAATTAGTATTTTTTAACAAATGTCCGCGCTAAGAATATTTTATAAAAAATTGAAATAGTTAATATTGAATTTAAAAAGATTTATGCAAAGTGTGTATCTAAAATAATAAATTAAATAATGTGATATATATGCTTTATATATTTGTTTTTTTGTCTCCTCTTTCTAGTAAACAAGAAATTATACTGAGATCAGCATTATGCTATCTCGATCACGGTCACGTGATCGCGTAATGAATAAGAATAACGGAAACTCGAAAAGATATCTTGAGGCATTTAAATAATGCTGTCAAAAATTATAATATTTTTTAAATCTTTGTATATCATTTTGATCTCTTTATAAATTTTACAATTTTTACACCTCAGCCGTAATATCGATTCAAGAAAGACGAATAGAGAAACCTACCGAGTCTCATATCGATCGCGATAGAAAATGAATCATACCGAATTCAGCACTACGATTGACTCTTATCACTGTTTATCGCGCGACGTTTTTGCTTGCGACTTCGCGAAACGATAAGAACGAGATTCCTTTACAATCGATAGGACTCACTTATCGGTACCAAGGGGTCCTCGGGGACTTAGCACTTACTACTTAGAGCAATACGTACATCTCGACTTACCGGCGATAAGTTGAGGATACTTTCCGAGTCGACAACCGCACGAGAAATGCGAGCACAATAACGCGGGAGCCTTCAAGAAAACATCGCGGGTTTACTATAGTGCGTGGAGAACAGGAACCTGGGTACCACCAGGAGAAGGCGCTTTAAAAGCGTCATGTACTGTAGTTTGTTGCACCGGCCGGACCACTTTCTATTTCATTTTTTTCCTCTCGATTCTCTCCATCTCTCTCACTCTCTCTTTCTCTCGCTCCCTCCCCTTTTGATTTTCTCTCGCTTTAGTCGAGCAATTCTTGTACTCTTTCTCTTTTTGTACAGACGGAGGGACTGGTTTACCGGCTGGCAGGGCCGTAGGTGCCCAGGAGCGGCTAAATAATGGTTAACGACAGGACGGACCTTTAACGAGCCTCTTTGACGCATCTCGAGTGTCGTGAATGTTATTTCTTTAGAGTAGACGTCGCTATGATATAGCATTGTTTAAGGATCGGCCGATGATCCTTCGAGATAATTTTTTTTCCTTATATATAAAGAAAGGCTAAGATATAAATAATTGTTTATTTAAATAGATAGATTTTATATTAATGATGACGATGATGAAATCAAGCTATTAATCCTGAGCTATTGATACTAATTTAGAGCGCATCCTATTCTTTCTAAAAAAAAGTTGGAATCAATCAAGTTTTTGATTCTAAATAATCTTGAAATATAATTTAACGATCTTCGGTAATTTACAAAATAATGGAGTACTATAAATATTATTAACTTGAATAATTAACGAAAAAATATTATTTTTCAAATGTTCAGTCTTTTTCTCCGGCTGTCATACTTTCTGCCATTTTTATCACGAATATCATTATGAAGAAATATAAAAAACAATCTATAAAATTAATATATACATATGCAAAAACTCTTACGACGCATATAAAACACAACTGTAATGATGCATTTATTTTATGTACAGATAAATCAACTTACATGATGATACGGTCGGTAAAACGTATAATTATTATTTTGCAAGCGTTTTACACAAATGGTTCTAAGAAAAAAATTAAGGAAATTTTTAATAACAATGTTAAATAAAGCATAATATTAGTCATTTAATTTTTATTTTTATACGAGTTTCTTTCTTTCTCTTTTATCCCGAACCATTTGTTTATATTTAAACAAATCACTCTTCAAACGATAAATATTTTACTGGCAATAATTATTAAAATTACAAAATTGATTATTCCTCCCGTCCATAAATGTATGTTTCGCTAAACAACAAATACATTAATTTGCATTTTGCCAAAAATTTGCGACGAACGCATCCTCTGCATTCGTTCTCGATAGGGCGCCGTTCCCTTTGGTTGTCTGAGAAAGGAGTGAGTGAAAAGGAGAGAGAGAGTATTCTGAAGCGGAGGACGCTGCACCGGCGAAGGATCCTGTGTGCAGCTCGTCCCCGGTCATTGCACGGGACTTTTCGGATCTCGATTTCAGGTCCTCGCTCCTTTACAGGGCCTTCCTCCTCCCTTTGCCTTTCCTATCCTTTTGTGCCGTTTATCCAGCGACCCTTCGTCTCGCGACCCGGCGTCTTCTCCCCACTACGTTGTCTTGCAATTCCTCCATCCTTGCCCTTCTCGCTTCGGGTTTATCCTACGTCTCGCTTGTTGGTGCACGAATCGCGGCGCTACGTCGCGATATTTTTGCAGGTTTTATTTTGGAGAACATCTGGTAGTTGGCACGCGGACAAAGGAAACTTGCTCTCTCAGGAAATCTCAGGAGGCAAGGGGGTGGCTCGCGCCCGCGGTTAGGCTTATTTACTTGTTCCTAGTGACGTAGAATGTTTGTAAACAATGGGCCCACAATGATGGCGGAGAAACGATGGTAGTAAAATAAATTAGGGGTGATTCGGGGCCATACAATTCCTAGTATCTCTGCAAAAGATAGAAAATGTCGAAAATAATTATTTGAAATATATACATTATATTCTTCTGCTTTTTTCTACTAGTATAATATTTATATCAACTTTTTTCTGCAAATATATATAATTGCTTAAAATTGATGAACATGAAAACATATAATATAATAAGTAATTTTGAACATATATTGAGATTTTCTATCGCGATCGTTAAATTTAAATGTAAAGTATTATCAAAAAACGATATGTGTAAAAATCGTATTACTTAAAGAGGAAGGATGCATCGCGCAGAAAAGATCTTATTGTTAACAAGTTCGAAGTAGCTGAATCATTTTTAATGAAAAGAAGTAAGCCTCTGGCAATCCGCTAATTACATTTAATGATTGCGTAAAGAAGGTCGCGTCGACACACAACCGTGGATTACGTATATTTAAAATCGAATTACGAAAACAGCAAAGGCGGATGCATCATTGTCTCTCGATTTTATGCCGCAGCATAATAAAATGTTTTACAACGTTATGCAAAAATTTTAAATACACACAAATAGAATAATAAGCATAAGCCTAAAAGTCTAGAAAAATAATAAATCATATTAGGAATCTCACATTTGTATAAAAAGCATTTAGTATAATTATAGAGATATATCTCAAAATTAAATAAAAATTATTTTGCAACAATTTATGCATCGTCAAACTTAAAATTCAAAATTGAGATCATTCTCGCCATGATTATTTTCTACGTCGGCAATCCGGGACAACCTGATTTAAACTCGCTCGCGGCTCGGGCCCCGGGGCTATCTGATTCCCCTCAAAGGAACAATGGCCATTTACTGCATGTCCAAGCGTCGCAAGTGTGTGCATAATCGACACTCCGATTCGCGTGTAGGTGCGTCATCTCGAGAGATGAAAACGCGGACCGGTTCGCCGGACGCGCCGTCCGGGAGGAGAGTCGTACGTACCTACGGGCCCCAAAACAACAATATGGCGTCTGGCCGTCCCTTTAAAACGAGTTAATCCGTCTGTCTGGCCGTCTGCCGATCGCCTGAGAACCAAGAAGATTCATTTCCCCTTTGTTCATTCTTTTTCACACGTACCCCGAAAGGGCCATGCTTCAATGGCACAATGCGCAAACGCCGCGTCAGCTCACATTCGCGGGGCCTTTCCGGACAGGTCCCATACACACATACACACAACACGCATATATACATATACATATAACACACGTACTCGCTCGTATTCGCGCGCGTATAATCGCACACAATCCGGCGAAAGTGAAATATACGCCCGTACTCCTCGACGAGGATTGTTGCGTTTTTCGGGGCCCGCCGGACAGATGTTTCATTTGCGATCGGTCAACAACGCGGCGCGGGTTGTCAGGGGCGCAGCGAAATCGCGGCGATATAATGCGAATCGCGGATTCCCGGGGTCCGACCATCGTGCCCCCGGGTTCATTGACCCCACGCTCGGGACGAGCTCGACGCAATTTCGTAGGCGGCCGCAACCTCGCAACCTTGCAGAGATATTACGAGTGATGCGGCAGCATCCTTGGACTTTAATCTCTCTCAGAAAGCGAAAGATGCAATATTAAGGAAATATATCCGATATTCTATTTATAATATAGAATTATTGAACAAAATATTAACACATAATAATAATAAATTATATAATTTTAATATAATAGATATAATAGATATAATATAAGAATCTGATTTTAACAATCATAGCGAAAATCTTTGCAAAAGAATAATTTGAGATTTTTTATAATATTCTTTTTATCTTTTAAAATATAAAAAATATGTTTCTTTTTTTTGCATATATATTTGCGCGTAATATGCTGGAAGTATAAATTGGTTAATTAATCGCAGACAAACAAGATGATTAATATAGTTGCACGACGAGACGCAAATAAATACATCAATTAACATATTTAATTCTTCATTCACGTATTATGCAATAGCTATATAATGATATTGACAGAAAACAAAATTAGGAAATTTATACGTATATAAATATAGTAGACTTTTAATTAATTTAATTGGATTTTTAATTAAATGCACATATTCCGGTTTACGATATATTAAGATGAAGATGAAAAGAGATCTGTGGTCGAACATATGCTTACTCTTTTAAAAATTTAAAATCCGTTGTATCCCGATGAAGACTGAGCTGCGCTGAACGAAGCTGAGAAAGGCCCGATATTGAAACTCGCACTCTGTGCATTGGCCCCGCTTTGTCCTCCACCATAAGGACCACCTCCACTTATAGATCCTGCTGATGCTGAGGCAAAAGATGTTCCTTGTCCGGTATGATGATAGTTGCCGTAGTCCGGTTGCCATCTGCGTGAATCAGAAAGTAGGATGCGAACGATTATTTTTCTTGCATTCTTCAATTATAAACAGATATTCGTGGAAAGATGTTAATTCTTATTATGTTTAATAAATTTATTATTGCTGTTTGTTTCGGCAATTCGATATAGGTATACATATTTTATAAAATGTAAATCAAATATTGTTTTCTTCAAAGTGATATCTATAATGATAATAGAGTTATATTGAAAAAAATATTGTGTGTGGTATTAATTGATTCTTAAGAAATCACATTAAATATTTAAATAGATATAACTTTCTAAGATACAAAATCAGATAATTTAAATTGAAAATATGTATATGATAATTATTTTTAATTTGTATGTGGTAATTATTTTATATTTTTTATAAAAATTACTGGCAAAAAATATAATTACAGTATTAATTGCTAGTAGTATCATTCGCGTGATTTTAATTGTTAAACAATTATTTACATACCCTCCACCGCACCCTCCGTAACGGCGGCATCCATGTCCATGAGGCTTATTGTGGGAAAATTTTCGCTTATGTCCAAAACGAAAATAGGGTGCATTGTCATCGTAATCAGAATAATCGCCGTAATTGCCCAACAAACCATATTGTGGCGATCTCTGTTTTCTCGCAGCAACTAGATAACATATAATAATATATATAATTAGTTATATTTATTTATATATTAATTTTTAGGTAATATCCTTGGAATTTTCAGAAAAAGATCTTTTATTATTATAATTTGTAATATACTCTTATAATATTTGCCAGCAAATTAATTATATTAAGACAATCTGTTTATTATAGCAAACCTTGAATAATATTGTCAATTAAATTTTAATCACTAACCAGTTTCAGATTCATTATTCACAGTTATTACAACTGGATCTAGCACATCAGAATCCGCCACTATTTCCGTCGGTTTACCGTGCGATTCTTTCAGAAAAAACACACCGAGCACCATCGTTAAAAGTAGGACTCTTCTCATCGTGAAACGGAAGTGTTACTGTTACTTGTCGAACGTCTCAAAAAAGATTCAAAGATATTCTTTCGTTCTACGTGCTTTTATAGGAAGTCCATTCACTGTCAAAATTCAAGGTAGTCCCATAATTTCACAATAATGCTAGCTACAAGTGTTAAGAGATGGTCATTGGTCCTCACAAAGTGGACGACCTTCCGTTCCCAGGGACGGCCGGAAGTAGACCGGAGACCAATACACGTAGGTGTGTAAAGATAGAATCTTTATATATACTAATGGAGATATTAATGCGAGTTTGACTTTGATCAAATATCTGAAAGTATTGCACTTCCATTCTCTTACAGACTTATGTATGCTTTTTATAGGATTCCAGGAAGAGGAAAATAATTTCGCTTTTTACTTATCAACAATAAATTTTTGTAAGAGACTTACTAATAATATATATATATAT